GTAAATCTGAGCCAAAAATAATGTGAAGAGAAATTATCTGAATAAGATACGGTTTTGGTGTGTGCTGATTAACTGTGAGAAACCATAGTTCTCTCTGAAAGTCTTTGTAATATAGCAGGATATTCTTGTCCCGTAAACCAGGAAGGACAAGCATGCTGATCATAATTGGAATTAGATAGTAATCAGTATCTTAGAACTCCCTTTCCATTGCAGTTGCTATTTTTCCAGATATTGTTAAAAATGTGTTGTAGTATTCCCAGCCAATTTAATAACTTCCTTCCCTTTAATACTCCTGGAGTGTTAGATGCATAGCTAATGTAGTTTGTAAAGATGCACGTTATGCCAGATTTTATCTTCATATTTTGGGAAATGTTTAAGTCTATCATTTATGTCTAAGATTATTATTATTTAACTTGTATTCTAATATTTCAAATATTTATTGTTCAAATATAACATCTAAAATCAAAATTATGTATAAACATGAACATATCCTCCTATATGTATAGATGCATTTCTAATTATCCTGAACTTTACAAGAGTGACAATAGTGTTACTGAGTTTGTCATTCAGCATTTATTAAACCTCTCTGCTGTAAGAAGTTCAGCTCTTTAAAAAACTTACAGTATGAGGGATAACAGCCTGAGAAGTAGTGTGAGATATTATAGTGGACTTACCCACAAAGTGGAAATAAAGTGATCCACCTGGGCTGGAATTGAAGGTTGGAGAAAGAGGATCAGGCTGCCTTTCTTCTTACAAAACTCAGATACTAAAGCTTTCGTGAAATACCTTTCCTCTCTCCTAGAATTACTTAATTTACTGCTGGATTATTTTGAAGCAAGAAAGAACTGGGTTCATCTTCCATTTCTCTAAGAAATTATAAGATGTATGGCTTTGGGCAAATGATAAAATTTATCTGAATTTTAGTTTCTTTGTCTTTAATATTAGTAATAATAGCTAACAGTTATATAGTACGTATTATGCACGAGCACATTTTTAAGCACTTTACATATGTCTGTGGTTCAAATTCACTAACTGCTCCTCAGGAGAAAGATGTGGCAGTCTGCTTCTGTAAAGATACAGCCTTGGAAACCCTATAGGGCAGTTCTGCTCTGTCCTGTAGGGTCGCTGTGAGTCGACATCAACTCAACGGCAGGGATATTTTTTAATTATGCACCAGCCCTGTTTTAAGAACTTTATATATAAACACAACTATTCTTTATATCACAGAGGCCTGATGGCACGCCATGGTTAAGATCTCAGGCTGCTAACCAAAAGGTTGGCAGTTTGAATCCACCAGCCACTACCTGGAAACCCTATGGGGCATTTCTACTCTGTCCTATAAGGTTGCTATGAGGCGGAATCAACTCAACAGCAATGGGTTTGGTTTTCAGTTTATTCTTTGTATCAATCCTTTGAGGTAGGCGCTGTTATTACTCCTGTTTTACGTATGAGAAAGAAGCAGGCACAGAGAAATTTAGTAAGGTCACAAAGCCAGTAAGTGACAGCGCAAGGATTTGAACCCCCACAGACTGGCTCCAGGGTTGTTGTTGTTTTGCCATCGAGTTGATTACTACTCATAGCGACCCTATAGGACAGAGTAGACCTGCGGCATAGGATTTCCAAGGCTGTAATCTTTAGCTCCAGGGTATTTGCTCCTAACTGCTTATGCTATATTGCCTCTTCAGTTCTTTAACCAACATTTATATGTGCATGTTGGTGATCTGCCCCTGACAATTTTTCTTTTAATGTTTGAGTTGATACCGACTCAGTGGCAGTGGGTTTGGTTTTTTTGGTTCATGGTAAAATAGAGGTGTCTGGGGGTGGAGATGATGTACTTACCGCTTGGTATTTTAAATGGTAACATGTTATTTTTCCTCTTGAAAAGATTTTGTGATAACAAAAATGAACTGTAAGTTATTTAGAGATTTAGAAAATAGCTAAAATATAATAGTCTTAAGATAAATGCTTTGTTAGTCATTATGTGGGAGGCGAGAATTGCAGTATATTTTCTTGAGGAAAAGAAAAATTAGAGTAAACACTACCACAAACAAAGAAGAGCAAAGGATATGTGGATTTTCTTGCTAACTGAATAGGAAACCAGAGTCTGTAGAAATTCTGTATTGAAGTACTGTATCTTGGTGGAAGCAGTCTGTCTTAGATAAATGATGTTTCTCTCTTTAATCTCATATATCTTCCACTGATATTTAAAAAGTTATACATGTTGAGAAAGTAAAGAACAAGCCCCAGGAATTATAAAATACAAGAAGTGTTTACTTTCTTGATGTTGGTACTGATATGAGATTAGAGCATAGGCTGCTATTACTTTTATTTCATTAGATATTGTAAAAAATATACATAATTTATTTGAGGTCAGCCATCCCATCAGAATCCTGTCCCATCTCCTCATAGTTCATGGTAGTTCTTATTAAATCTGTTAAAATGTTCATGTTGTTCGTCTGATAAGTACTCCGGATAATAAAATAGCAAATACATATGCGTGATCAAAGGAGAGTTTTATTACTGAAATAGAAATGCTAGTAGCATAGCATGGTGTCCTACTCTCTTTCCATTCTTACTGCAGTGACTCTACATTTTAGAATTCACGTGCCCTGATACATCTTTCTTTGCTGCAGATATTTTTGCTTGCTTCCTATTTCCTCAATGTGCTGTGCACTCTTAAGCCTCTGTGATGGTGTATGCTCTTCTCTTGTTGAGATCCCCTTCTCCACTTGTTCTCCTTGGCCCATGCTTCCTGTCACAACTCTATTCCTGTATTTTCCCTTCTGGAAGTATTTCCGGCCACAAAGCCACACTGATTTAGATGCCAGTTCTCTTCATCATTTTTTCTATATTCACGTAGCATCCTGTGTATAACTTACTTAGAGTACTTATTAAGTTGAATTTTAATAATAGGTTTTCTTAACTGTGCTCTCCCTACTTTTCCTCTGCCCTTGTTCAGTGCTTGGCACGTACTAAAGACTCTCTAAATATTTACAGAAGAATGAGTACAGAGAGAGCTGCTGCCTTTGGAGTTGGTTTTTTAACCCCTGATGCTTTAGCAGCAGGAAATGTGGAAACCATTTTCTAAGGGGAGCATTTCTTGCGAGACTTGTAAAAATGGCATGAGGGTATCAGACCTTGTAGTCTAACTTCACAAGGGGGAGGAGAGAGAATCACCATCAACATCAGCCTAAGACTGATTCCTGTGAGGTGGAGGTCAGACATACCTCCACCCTCCAACCTTTTTACCAATTCTGACACTAGCTGTCCCTCCCATGGCACTCTCTACTTCTCTGCTGGATTTGATGATTAGTTGCAATTACTACACAGAACTTACAGACCATACTCATAGTTATGGGGTTTATTAGGGAAGTAACAGGTTACAATTCAGGATCAGGAACAATTCAGAATACAGTTCTTTGGTCAGGACAGACTCTCAGCTGTGCCCGCAGCAGACGTCTCTCGGTCCATCGGCCCCTTGGTCTGCCCTCTGCCCTGCCTGGACAAGTGTTACAAAGCTCTTTAGCCCCGCCAGTAAGTGCCCGGAGGCACCCCACTCCACCAATAAGCCTTGGCCCAAAAGCTCTCAGATCTCTCACTCTGGGCTGGGAAGCGCACCATGCCATCTTGTGCCAGTCTCCTGGTTCTGCTGCCACCGTTTCTCCACCACTGCTTCTCGCCATCTCATGCTATCTCCAGTGTTACAATTCTGTCTTCTGCGTCTAGGAGGTTCTCAGCACAGGGACCCGGGATCCAAGGATGCACTCCACTCCCAGCTCTTCTTGGTGCTAGTGAGGTACCCCCTTCAGCCTCTGAGATTGGCTCATTTTAAGCCTAGCGGGATGGCAAAACTGACTAATCCTCTTGTTAGACTTCCATATGCCTTATTTGCATGGCCCCACCCCCACAAGGGTAACATGCAAACTGTCTAATCCCCTTAGTGGCCCACAAGCACCTTGTTTGCATAGTTCTACCTAGTCATTTTGTGGGAGTCACAAGACCATGAATGGCTAGAAGGGCCATATTAAGTAATTCACTGCATGGCACTTGCACTAAACTGGAGGAGGCTGTTGTAAGAGTACAAAGTAAAGGTCTCCATATGTCTGATGCTTCTTTTGATGTCATGTAATTCAAGAATCTACCTTCTGGGTGAATAGCCAGTGGTCCATATACCATTTGATTAATCCATCTCTTTCTCACTGATTTTAAATACCTCATCATCTATTGATACGGATAATATAAGGTAGAATTGAAATTTATACTGTATCTTCTGTTGAATTATAGCAAAGTTTTTTTTAATGACATAAAATGGTGTTACCCTATATGGAATTTGCATAAACGTGATTTTATATTTGATTATTTTATATCTATATGTTATAGATATATTTGCAGATATATCTATCTGTAATCTGTATTTTTGTATACAGAGAGAATATTCAGATCATACATAGTTTGAAATCCATTTTTCCCCAAACATATAGTGCAGAGCAAAGGTCATTTTTATTAACCAGCATAGAATTATCCTTAAGAAAATATTTCAAAGACAAAATCTTTCATATAGTACTGTAAATGCATAGAATCAACCAGAAGCAAGAACCATGACTGACTGGAATGAGAAATGCAGATGTGTTACATAATGTATATCAAATTGCATTATTAGCACATCATGCAAATTAACTGACTTTAAAACTACCATCAAGCAGTGAACTGTTTGGGGATTGAAGTCAGTAAAACAAATTAGTTATTCTTAGGTCACATCATATAATATATGATATCTTTGTGTTTAATCACAAGTTCTTATTTCATTGAGAACTTGGCAGTGTAACAAATTAGTTCATGTCATTTTTATGTTTTTTATGACTAATTTACTACCTAATCTAAATTTTACTTTTTTACTAAAAAAGAAGTTAATTAGTAATATCATTGTGTTGATACTTTTAGCCTATCTTGATTAATATTAATAACATTTTCTTTTTGGTTTATTTGTTTTGTTTGTCTAGAAAAGCAGACCGTGATTTTAGTCAAATACGTCACCATCTATTAAAGGAAACAAAATCTTAAGAGCAAGTCTAACGTATGAGGAAACAGAAGCTGCTTCAGCTGATTGAAAATGGGAACCACAAGCGATGAGATAGTTTCTGTGGAACAGCCCTCATCCTCCTTAAATCCTCTGTGTTTTGAGTGTGGCCAGCAGCACTGGACAAAAGAAAATCACTTATACAATTACCAGAATGAGGTGGATGACGACCTAGTCTGCCATATTTGCCTTCAGCCTCTGTTGCAGCCCCTGGATACCCCCTGCGGACACACATTCTGCTACAAGTGCCTCAGAAACTTTTTACAGGAGAAAGACTTCTGTCCCCTGGACCGGAAGAGACTTCATTTTAAGTTGTGTAAGAAATCTAGTATTCTTGTCCATAAACTTCTAGACAAATTATTAGTTCTGTGCCCATTTGCTTCAGTGTGCCAGGATGTTATGCAGCGCTGTGACCTGGAGGCACATCTTAAAAACAGGTAAGCAAAAAAAGTGAAAGGAAAGAGGAGTAACCAGGCTTTATACAAAGGTTGTTCAAATAAACTTGATTTAAAAAAAAAAAAACACCAAGGCATCCATGAGGAAATGGACAAGGACATGAACAAATCAAATACAGAAGAGATACAATAAGTAAGTAAGTTATGTGGAACCATATTTGACATTATTTATCAGAAACATGAATATAATACCTGCAATGAGGAAGTACTGTTTTACACCTATCAATATTTTTGCTGGTATAATGTGACACTATTATATTCACATGGGTGTTATATTCATGGATTCTTTTTGCAAGGCAATTTGGTAGTTTCTTTTAAAAACTGGATGTATCTATCCTCTTATCTAGCTCTCCCTGTCGTTGGAGTTTACCCTCAGGAAACAATCCAGAAGAAGAAGTTGTATATAAAGATGTTCACTGCAAAACTGCTCATAGTTCAACAAAGTGGACTCAGTCTAATTGCTTAAAAGTTGGAGAAGGGTTAGAAATACTGTTATACGTCAACTCTGTGGGATATCATGCAGCCAATAAAATGATCGTTTTGTTGCAACACAGAAATAAGTACACAAGTTTATCTGCTAAAGTCTTGTAAAGATTCTGTGTTTAGGTATTAGACTAAACACAAATTAGATGTTGGAAAACTTTAAACATTTAGTGGGAATTTTTCTTCTACTCAATGTGTTATAAAAGCTTTTTAGAAGGTTAAGTAAGTAATTTACTTAGCTGATTGCTTAGTGAGTTTTAATCATTCAATTTTGGTATAAGAGTTGATCTTTAAAATTATTTGCTACCTTAAGAAGGATTAAAATACATCTCTTATGTATTATTACGCAGATGTAATCACATAGAATGACAGAAATAACTATTAGTTATAAATTTCAAAGTTAAACCACTTGTGCAGTATAGATTTGCTGTAACCGTAATTGTTGTGATAAACAATGCATGCTACAACAAATTGGATTTAGAAATAACAGTATAAGTCTGAAATAGAATACCTTGTGATTATATTTGCCCACAAAGTCATATAATTGAAGGAGATTACCTAGTCTCATTTTCTCACTTTGCAAATAAGGAAACTGAGTCTCAAAGACGTGTAGACTTAAATGTCAATATTCCTGGTTGCCATTCTACTATACCGTGCTGACTGCCACAGGTCAAATCATTTTCTTTATTGCTATGTAGTAATAAAAGTTTCATATACACGAGTACACATGTTCATTCTGCTCCTAAATATCATTGTTATAAAAGGTTATTAGAAATAATTAAGACATATGAGAAAGAATGAGATGTTATTAAAATGTTAGAAGCATGAACATTTATAAAGAAACTGCCTATATCCAAATCGTGTTGTCCAAAAATAAGAGCTAACATGGTACCCAGCCTCCAGCAGACTGCTGTGATAGGGATCACAATAGAGAGTCCCATAGAGAGCTGGAGAAAAATGTAGAACAAAATACTAACAAAAAGACCAGACTTACAGGCCTGGCATAGACTGCAGAAACCCTGAGAGTATGGCCCCTGGACACCCTTTTAGCACAGTGATGAAGTCACACTGGAGATTCACCTGTAGGCAAAGATTAGACAGACCTGTAGGACAAAACGAGACTAATGGGGCACACCAGCCCAGGGGCAAGGACTAGAAGGCAGGAGGGGACAGGGAAGCTGGTAATAGGGAACCCAAGGTTGAGAAGGGAGAGTGTTGACATGTTGTAACCAATGTCATAAAACAATATGTGTACTAACTGTTGAATGAGAGCCTAGTTTGTTCTGTAAACCTTCATCTAAAAGTACAATAAAAAAAATAAAAATAGGAGCTAACAAAAAGTGTAGCATAGATATGTAGACTTTTGGAAGATGCATGTACCCATAGGTTTTTGTGTACCTTCAGTCACTAGCAGACATAGAATCCAGAAATGATAGCAAAGAACTCCTGAAATTGACACTAAGGTTTTGAATATACTAGTCTCAGTCAGGCCTCATTATGGTTGAAGTTGAGGAATATTTTAGGCGTTCCTTATTTCTCTAGTAGAATTATTCTTTTTAGAATATAGATTTCTTTTATGAATCTTTTATGAACATCAGTTATGGGATGTTAGAGGAACTGAAAACAAGTCTCAGTTCAGTTATTAATTACTTAGGTAGCAGTGAGATAATACAAATTTTACAAATTTTTAGGGATATTCACTTAACTAAAATGCATGGAAGAATTTAATATGTAGTTTAAGTATTTCTAGTATTTTTAATGAAACTTTGATGATATAAAAACTACGTGGAATTGCAAACTATCATTTATAGGATGTAAAAATTAAGCAATTATATCCAGTTTAAAGTTCCATTTTCCAGCTGTATGTATTTATATCTGAGCTGCTAGTTGAATCATTTCCTAAGTACCTTAGGCCTGTAATGTGAAAGATACAATGAAAAGGTGGGTGATTTGCTTGATAAAAATAGTTAAGAGTGATTAGTGTTTATAAGTGAGCAAAAAAGGAGAAACCCTCAGTGAGATGTATTGACAGTAGCTACAACAATGGACTGAAACATGCTAACAATCATGAGCATGGCGCAGCAGCACCAGGCGATAGTTCATTCTGTTACACGTAAAGTTACCAGGAGTCAGAGCTGACTCAACGGCAGCAACTATCAAATAATAACAACAGTGATTATAAAAATGCAAAATATTAGATTGTAAAATTTAATATGATTTTTATATCCCATTTGGACAGATGTAATGAACGCTCTGACCTTTCTGTAGGATTGTTAATATTTCGATAGTTCTCAACTAAAAACATTGAAATTCAGATAGGAAATTTATTATCCAACAGTCAACCCTACATATAGTTCATTTGTTCATTCATTTGGCAATTATTTATTGCATGTGCCAGATACTGTCTAGATGTTAAGTGGTTTCTGCAGGTTAGAATGTACCCTCTAGGACCAGGACCATGTCTTTATTAGTCTTTGAACTCCCGTGCCCAAAGTTGACACAGTTTTTTCAATTACATTGTTGAACTGTGTTGCTGACAAACTAACCATCCCAAACACAGTGACATAAAACAACAGTCATTTGATTATACTCATGGATTCTGTGAGTCACACAGACATTCAGACTGGGTACCACAGGTATGGCTTGTCTTTGTAATACGATGTCTGGGCCTTAGCTGGGAAGACAGTGATAGGGGCTGGAACAGTTAGAGCTGGAGAATCTCCTTCCAAGATAGCGTCTTCATTCACATGTCTGGTGCCTTGATGGGGATGTCTGGAAGCATAGGCTCAGGCAGCTGGAGAGCCTGCATATGGCCCTCTATAGCATGGAAACCTTAGGGTAACTTCTTATAGGGCAGCTCAGTGTCCCGGTGAACAAGGCACAGCCTTTTATGATCTAGCCTCAGAAGTCACACAGTGTCACTTCTACTGTTACTCTATATTTGAAGCAGTCACAAGCCCACCCAGATTCAAGGGGAGGGGGCCTCACCTTGCAATGGGAGGAGTGTCAGAAAAATTTACAGCCATATTTTAAAACCACCACAAACTAGCAAGAAAAGCAATATCATGAGGCACAGAATATGGTTATTACAACTGTTTATGGCATCTCTGTACAGTCTTGTTAAAATTGATTGTGTTTTCTGAAAGTTTCATTAAAGTTCATAGTATTTTAGCATTAGCTACAGTAATTCATTGTATAAAAGTCGTCTGACTATCATGTGCCTTTGTTAATGAACTTAGTGTATTTGGAAATCCAGTAATTATTAATAGAAACACAGTATTAACAGTAGTTTGCATAAGCTGGCAATTTCGAGTTTATTACGTTTTAAAATCACATTCCCTATTTGAATGAAATTCTACTCTTAAGAAATCTGCTCCAGCTTGAGAACACTTAACATTTTCTCCTACAGTTAAAAGTAAAATACTTATGAAAGATGAATGTGGTTTTCAATAAAATTACTAATTATTATTAACTGACCATATACAATTAATAGTAATTTTTATACAAGTTATACAAGGAAAGTTAAAAACATGAGAAAGCCCTCATCTTTGAAGGGAGAAATAAAGTCTTTAAGAGATTTTATATATGGTACTAATCGTGATATTTTAGTAGCTACTTGGTGAAATTTGGCCAAGTGGTATCAACTGTAAAGCATTCTTCCTCCCCTTCATACTCCTTATCCCCTCCCTGCCGTCAGCAGTTTCACATTTAAAGTGTATAGTAATTGTAAATGTTAACTTTTTTTTGTTGTTAAATTGTGCGTTTTTAATCCTAGCTTATGGCGAGCCTAAGAAGCATTTTTCTTTTCTTCTTAAAAAATTATAGTTCAACACTGTTACAGAAAATTGATACAATAGAGAGAAAACCTTTAAAGAAGTTGTCAGAGACTAAAAGCAGCCTGTTTATATATATGCTATGCAGTTCAGTTTGACACGGTTTTTAGGAAAATAACTTCTCTTTGCAGGCCTGTGTAAATGAACATTCTTTTACATAGAAAAAGGAGCCACTGGTCCACTTTGTCCTGATGGCACAGTGGTTAAGTGCTTGGCTGGTAACCAAAAGGTCAGTAGTTCTAACCTACCAGCTGCTCCAAAGGAGAAAGATGTGGCCATCTGCTTCTGTAAAGATTATAGCCTTGGAAACCGTATGGGGGGGCAGTTCTGCTCTGTCCTGTAGGAGCCAAAGATACACATGTCTTAAAACACCTTTGAAGTAGTTGATCCTTCTTACTACATATTTGCCCATATTTGTCAGTTTCTTACAATTAGGCCTAAATAATCAGAAACACTAATAATGATTCTCCACGGATAAGGTGAGCATATCCAATTTTGTTAAGGATGATAATCTTTTTCTATTTTGAGATACATTAAAATTTTTAAGTATTTCTGAATCAGGATATATCTTATAATGTATATGAGAATATTTCTTTTCTTTCTTCCAGTAATTATTGAATTGATTTTTTTTTTATATTGAGATGTAAATCGCTTGCCGGTTGAATA